GGTCACGGCGCCCCCCCGCCCGGCCGCTCGGCGCCTCGTCATTGGCCGCGGCGCGCGCTTAAAAGGCGCGGCCAATGGCTGCTAGCGGCAGAGGCCGGGGCGCGGGCGGGCGGCCTGGGCTCGGTGGGCGAGCGGGCGGCATCGGGCCGGCGAGCTGTGGGGGTGCGGGCGGCCGGGAGGGCCAGGGACTGGGGCAGACGGACGGCTAGGCGCGGCAGGCGGGGTCCGCACCCCGGGCCTGCTGGGGGCAACGACGGTGACTCGCTCTTTGTCTGCACTCGTTCCAAAATGGCTGCGGCCGGAGCTGACGGGAGCGCCGGGCGGTCGAGGGAGGGAGGGAGGATGGGAGGGAGGCCGTGCTCCCGAGGCCCGTCCGCCGCTGCCTTCGCGGGGCCGGAGCCGGGACAGGCGGGCGGCGGCGGCGCCACGGCTGCGGGCGGGCCGGGCCTGGCCGAGGACTGGCCTCGCGGCGTCGGTTGCGCGACTGCCGGGCGAGGCGGTGCGTCCTGGGCCCCGCGCGTCCCCGACCCCGTCCCCGTCCCCGTCCCCCCGCCGCGGCCCGAGCTTCCCCGGAGGGAGTGGCGCCCGGCCTGGGGCGGCACGGCTCCCGCACACGGGTATCCATAAATCACTGGGGGAGCCGACAGCGCTTGTGGCGACCGGCAGTCCCGAGTCGGGAGCGGTCCTGTGTGGACGGCCTCTTCCTGTTTGCTCTGTTCCCTTTGACAAAGTGCGTGACCTAAACACTGTGCACGAGCATCTCCGCTGTAGAACTGACTAGCTCAGGTACAGTGCTCTTCGTGCCGGGTTTTGCTTGTTTGCTTTTTACCAACAGACGGTGTTCCGGGGCGCTTGGCGAGGACAACCGCGGTCTCCGGGCAGCGTGACCCAGCCCCGCGCGCCTGGGGGCGGGGGACCCGTGCACCTGCACCTCCGCGCGCAGGAGGAACGGGACGCGCCGGGTGTGGGGGCGGGGGGCTGGGACCCGCGGCTCCCGTGCCCATCTCCTCCAGCCCCTGGAGCCCGGGCCGGGCTGGGGTCTGGCTTTCAAATGGCGGAAATGTGGAATTCTGTATAAAATCGTAATCTCTAAACGCTTACAAATAAGTAGAAAAGCTTAAAGTAGGCCAAGCAACAGCATTGGCAGGCTGATTTCAGGCCCCGTGTGAGGACATCTGTACCGGGAAACAGATGTGAGCCATCGTCCACACCCTCAAAGCATTACGATTGGGGTGGGGGTAGAAAGTGAAGCCCGCTGTTCTGTTCTGTTCCGCTGCACCCTGGAGGGCCGGTGTGACTGCGGGGGAGGGGGGATCCCCACTCTCAGGTCGCCCCTGCTACATTTCTGTCGTCTTCCCTGAAGGAAGGTTGGTGGTGCCATCTCAGGGCACCCCTGCTTCTCCACACAGCCGTGGCTTCCTGCGTTCTCTGACGGGACCCCCCTCCCCCAGCCTCCGGTCAGCCTGCACTCTTGGACGCAGGCCAGCATGGCTGCTCACCTCTGCATCTGGCCTGCGCCCTGCAGGGGCGCTGATCTCACCCGCAGACTGCTCCAGGGCACTGTCCTACAGGAAGTATGGGCGGTTAAGTCTGCACCCCACCTCACCCCCTGTGGTCCCATTTCCCTGCCAGGGGAGTCCCCGTCCCCTGCCCCCACCCCAGGGAAGATGGGAGCCACAGTGCTCCCTGGAGCACTGCCCACCTTGAGAGTGAACAGGGGCAGTGAGGAAGCCATGGGGCCACCTTGTGCGCCTTTTCAGTGTCTCTTCAATAAAATAGAGAAAGCATCAGACACACTCAAACACGAGAGTAAATCATTTCCGCGTTGCTCTGGCCGTGTGAAAGGTACGCGATGTTGGTTGTATTCCCTTTGCTTCTGTTGTCTACCTGCAATACTACATAAGAAAACATTTTTTAAAGACCCAGGCCTAGGCTACCAGAGTCCCATTCACCTGAGGGACCTCCCCACCCCAGCGGATGGTGCTCCTCAGCCCCGTGGATCTGGCAGGGTGTGCCGGTCATCAAGAATGGATCCCTGACCCGGGGTCAAGTGCGGGAACACCTAACTGACCCATAGATGTAGACACATCCGCTTCTTAGGGCTGTCAGCATCATCATAAACAGGGACTTACAGAAACGACAGAAATTCATTCTCACAGTTCCAGAAGCCAGGAGTCCAACATTAAAGTGCGCAGGGTCCTTCCCACCTCCTGCCTCTGGTGGCCCCTGGGCTTGCACCAATCTGTGCCTCTGTGGTCACACGGCTTCTCTGCATCTCTGTGTCTTCTCATCTTCTTTTTTTTTTTTTTTTGTTTTTTTTTTTTGTGGGGGGGGGGGGTGGTCAGAGGGTCTTAAGCAGGCTCTGTTCTGACAGCAGAGAGCCAGAAGTGGGGCTCAAACTCACGAACCGTGAGATTATGACCTGAGCCAAAGTTGGACACTCACCCAACTGAGCCATTCAGGCACCTGTGTATTCTTTCATCTTTTTTATTTTTTAATTTTTTAACATTTTTATTTATTTTTGAGAGTGACAGCATGAGCAGGAGAGGGGCAGAGAGAGAGGGAGACAGAATCCGAAGCAGACTCCCAGCTCTAAGATGTCAGCACAGAGCCCAACGCAGGGCTTGAACTCACAAACCGTGAGCTCGTGACCTGAGTCAAAGTTGGACGCCCAACTGACTGAGCCACCCAGGTGCCCCTCCTTTCATCTTTAGAGGATACTACTAACTGAATTTAGGGCCCACCATAAATTCAAAATGGTTTCATCTCAACACTGTTAAGCAATTACATATGCAAAGACCCCATTTCCAGATTGTCATGTGCTGAGGTTCTGGGTGGATGTGAATTTGGGGGGGAACACTTCAACCCAATATAACAGATGACCAGTTTGTTCACTTATGGAAAGAAGACCGAAATTTCAGATCAATCAGAAGGCCGTCATCAGCCCGACCGGCCCCTTTGCCCCAGAACAGTAGCCTGAGAGTTGGTGCATCTGGAGTGGAATCCACTAGCCAAGGCCACCCCTCCCTGTTCTGCCTCGGAAAGAAAGTGTGGTGCTGAAGTCTGCTCCGTGGCCACAGGTAAGCGACACCGACACACTGAGCTCTCCCTCCATGCCAGGCCACGCCTGTGTGGCAGATGAGGGGACTGACGCTCAGGAAGGATGTCATTAGTAGCCCAAGGTCTCTCCCGGTGTAGACAGAAACCTGGGACTCGGACCCCAGAGCTGACAGACACTGGCAATGCTCCTTTTAGACTGGCAAGGTGGACTGAGCCCTCGGTACACTGATTAGATGTCTGCTCCGAAGTTAGAGTCAGGCCTGCCTCCTCTCGGAGCTTGACCTGGATCTGCTGGATGCAGGCTGTCTACAAGCTCTCGAATGACTCATTTACGACGGTGTCTTGGCTGACTCCCACAAATAGCTAACTACAGCTGTCACGGATGGATTTTACTAGTTTAGCTCAGGGAGGGGCTTATTTCGAAGTTTAGGTGGGAACTCCGATAGGTCAGCCTTCCTGGGCCGTCTCCCTCGCCACGTCAGAGTACAAGCAAGAAACAGAGCCTTCCTTATCAAGTCCGAGGAGTCTGCTGGTGTCTTGAGTCCCCGTTCCCTGGAAAGGTGAGGCTGCCGAACTCCATTTTCTGAGTATGAGGCCCCTCAGAGGGTTTTTTCAGGTAGAACTGCCTATTGGTTTGGTTAATTCCTAACACAGCTTGCCCCTCATTCAGCTTAAATGCTCAATGCCCCAGCCTCCATTCCTGAAAAGTTACCTTCTTGAAAACTTCATTGCAGGTGCTCTGGGAGATGGACCAAACCATAGGTTTTGTCGCTGGAACCTGTGTCATTAGCATTAACTGTTTGCACAAGATACGTAAAGCTAAGGTTTTAGGCACTGACCATTAAATGCCAGTGAGAATGTAAAAATTTAAACTTTGAAAGTTAGACCATTTACAAAAGCATCAACCAACCAAACACCTCAATGTAAAACTAACAAAACAAAGCAAAAGACCGACAGACAGAGGGGCACCTGGGTGACTCAGTCAGTTCAGCGTCCAACTCTTGATTTCAGCTCAGGTCTTGATCTCACAGTTATGAGATCTCACAGTTGTAAGATCAAGCCCCATGTCAGGCTCCGAGCTGGGTTTGGAGCCTGTTTTAAGATTCTTTCTCTCTCTTCACCTCCCCCTGTACCCTCCTCCGCTCATGCACGCACACGTGCTCTCTCTCGCTCTCTTTCACTCTCTCTCACACTCTCTCTCTCAAAACAAAACAAACAAAAAACAAGAGGAAATTGTAAAACATGATTGAGAGAAAGTACAGAAAAAATAAGTATGTGGAGGGATATACAAAGCTCAAGAATTAGGAGCCTGTCCTTTCTTCCCAACGTGATCTACAGATTCAATACAAAACAGGTTTTAAGATCCCAGCAGGGTTTTTTTTTTTCACAGAAATTGAAAGCTGGGCTTCCATTTCCAGTGTGGTAGAATAGTAACCTCCTATTGAACTCACCTTCCCACAGACAGCACTCTGAGCTCGGGACAAATTACAAAACACCTTTTCCTGGAGTCACCAGAGTGAGTGAAGGCAGGCAGATGCTGGGGAGGGGGGCTGCCTGTCTCAACACTCCTGGCCTAAGGCCAGGCTGCAGCCCATGCCACACCGACCAGATAAAGCACCAACATACTCCTGAAATCGCCGTTGCACTATACGCTAACTAATTTGGATGTAAATTTTAAAAAATTAAAAATTAAAAAAAAAAAAAAGCACCAACAAAACACCTATAGTCCTTCTGCCTAAGGGGCTAGGAGACGGAGCCGGGCCAATGACACCCTCTGGGAGATGCAGGGACATCCCAGAAGGGAAGGAGTAAGAGAAGCAGGGGCCTGAGTTCTGTTTATAAATAGGGCCTAAATCCCCAGGTGACACTGGACCACACGCATGGGGCCGACTCCAGGCAGGTAGGCTGAGAACAAAAGAACCAAGATGAGGTCTAACACGAGATCAGAGCTGCTGCCCACGGGTCGTTGTTTTTAGCCCGAGCACTGCCGAGTCTTAGCGTCACAACAACACGGACACAAAATAAAACCAACTCTGGGGATGTGTACATATGACTCCAAAGTCAACAGAAAATAACAATGTGTCTAGGATACAATCCAAATTTACTTGATATACAAAGAAAAGGAGAATGTCAGAGCCATTCTCAAACCAAAAAGGGTAAGTAATGGAGATTGATCCCTGACGTGACCCGTATTGCAGAATTAGCAAACAAGGATTTTAAAGTAACTGTTATAACTGTAATCACTGATGTAAAGAAAAATATGCTTTTAATGGGGGAAAATATTTTTTAAAAACCACAAGTGAGAACTAGAAGCTATATGTATATTTTTATTTATTTATTTTTATTTGTTTTAATGTATTTTTTTAAATTTTTTCTTCAACGTTTATTTATTTTTGGGACAGAGAGAGACAGAGCATGAACGGGGGAGGGGCAGAGAGAGAGGGAGACACAGAATCGGAAACAGGCTCCAGGCTCTGAGCCATCAGCCCAGAGCCCGACGCGGGGCTCGAACTCACGGACCGCGAGATCGTGACCTGGCTGAAGTCGGACGCTTAACCGACTGCGCCACCCAGGCACCCCTATTTGTTTTAATGTTTATTTGTGAGAGAGAGACCGAGTGCGAGTGGGGGAGGGGCGGGGGGGGTGACACAGAATCTGAAGCAGGCCCCAGGCTCCGAGCTGTCAGCACAGAGCCCAACGCGGGGCTTGAACCCACAGACTGCAGGACCATGACCTCAGCCAAAGTTGGACGCCTAACCAACTGAGCCTCCCTGGTGCCCTTAGAAACTCTTTTTAGAAAATGGAAATTGTAGAACTGAAAATTAAAATATCATAAATATAAAGTTAACTAAATGGGCCTAACAGAAGAGTGAATGACAGAGGAATAATCAGTGAGCTTGAAGATCTATCCATAGACTTTATTCAATCTGAAAGAGTGGGGAATAAATAAAAGAGACCAAGGATCTGTGAGACCATTTCAAAAGGTCTACATACATGTAATTGAAATTACAAAACGAGAGGAGAGAAAGAATGGGGCAGGAAAAAGTATTTGAAAAAAATAATTTCTAGAATCTTCTATACGTGGTAAAAGACATGAATCTACATACTTGAAGTTCCATGATCCCCAACCAAGATAAACACAGAGAAAACCATGCATAGGCCCAGCATAGTCAAATTGCTGGAAGGCACATGTAAAGAGAAAACTCTTACAAGTAGCCACGCGGTCACAGCCATCCAGGGAACGACACATGGAGTCTAATGACTTCTCATCAGAAACTATGGATGCCAGAAGAGAGTGGAACTACATGTACAAAGAGCTGAAAGAAAGCCTGTCAACACATTTGCAGGACCTCAAACCAGCTTTCAAGAATGAGAGTACGTAAATATATTTTAACATAAAAGAATATTAAAAGAAATCCTCACCAGCAGACCTGTATTACCGGACATGCTAAACAGGAAATTCTTCGGGCTGAAGGAAAATGATACCAGCTAGAAACTCGATCATCAGGAAAGAATGAAAAGGATACATAATACACATACAAGAGTACTTTCCTCTTCGTTTCTCTAAAATCCATACGTCTGTGTAAAGCAACAATTGTAACATTGCATTGTGGGGATCTTACTGTATGCAGCTGCGAGGCACACAACGACCGCAGACAATGGGCCTGTGACATTGGAAGGCTCTACATCTGGGGTACATTCTGCTATATTGGCTCCCAGACACTGTGCACTGCAA